TTCCTCTGTGCTTGCATGATTCCCATCCCAGCAGAAAGCAAAACGACCCTGGAAAATCTCCTGCTCAGCAGTGAGGTTGTGTCAGATGTGGAGGGAGAGCTTTGACCTTGTCTTGAGATCCACCCTATGGCTGCCCTTGAGACAAGACACCATACAGAAAGCATGTGGGTAAGCAGGACCCCGGTGCAGCCGGAGACCAGCCCAAAGATTGGGGTGACCTTATGTGCGTGACGCACTGCTACGTGACTTTGTAAACTGCTGTCCATATACGGACAGCAAAGCAAGTGTTGTGCTCTAGAGGAGTTACTCTTATGCCTCTTTCAGATTAGCTGTCAGCAAATGATATGACTAGATTAGTTACACAAACGCATCTGCTCTCCTTACAGTAAACATCTTCCTTGCCATTACTGCTAATTCTGCAGTAATATACTGGTACCTTTTTTTTTCAGCTGTTGTATTTGCTTTGGTTTTCTGCCATTCTAGGTGTCCATTCTTCTTTTGAATAGCATTTGAGTTGTGGATGAGTGAAGTTCTTTCACGTAGACATTCTCCTTATCATGAAGATGATTTTATAAATACTCAAGATCTCATTAGTTTTCTAAAATCCTGTTAGCATCGTTGATGTGCTGCTGGTTTGTGGTGGTGCAGAACCCCCTCCTCCTGGGCCACTTGGTGCTCAGTGTCATTCGCTTCCTTTTCTGGGCCACACACAAACCTGGGATGAGTTGGGTGTGGATGGCAAAATGCTGTGGACCAGAGCGTTAAGGCACCCCGTCAAAGTACCAGGCCCCTGCTTTCCCTATCACTTGACCTGGTACATCTGTACCTGGATTGCAGCCCAGAAAGAGTGATAGGAGAAACTGCAAAATCAGTAAGCTGGGGGCCTGTGCAACTGATGGAAAATATCAGAATATTTCACCATCTGAGTTGAGCTTAAGTGGAAAAGGACATTACAAAAGTCAATTAGTTGGACTCTATAAATAGCGATTCTGAGCGAGACCCTTTGAGGTCTCCTGGATGGCAGTGGGCTGTGACCAGCATCTCCCCTCAGCTGGGACACCTCTCAGATACCAACTCCACAGACCATCTGCTGACAATGCTGATGGAAGGCCGAGGTGAGTCATCCTCCTTCAGTGTCAAGTATTGCCCGTTGAGGAACATCAATGTGCATTGTGAGTGTTTACTCTAAAGTCAAGAGGGAGATGTTACCTATAGGGTAGCCTCTTCCATCCACCTCTCTACCTACATGTGTGTCTGAATATACACATTTGCCTTCATGAGTGTGGGTGTCTATATTTCACTGGATCCAAATATTTCTACCTGTCTGCCTGCTTTATGTTTTGTACATAAGTACATATATATTTTTTGATGTAGGATACCTTATAGTATGTTAATATGAATCTTGTCATTCTCGAATCTGTAATTAAGTTGCTGTTTTAATTATAACATATCCTACTGAATCGTCTTGTTAATGTTTCAATTGCTTAATCATTAAGTGTTGCTAAAATTCAACCTTTGATTTACCTCATACCATTAATAAATATTGAATTGACTAATTTAGTGGACTAATTTAGTGGACTGATTTAGTGGCCTTCTACGACAAAGCTACAGCGCTGGTTGACGTGGGTAAAGCAACGGATGTCGTTTTCCTGGACTTGTGCAAGGCATTTGACACTGTCTCACATGACCTCCTTGTCTCTAAAATGGAGAGACACGGATTTGACAGATGGACCACTCGGTGGATAAAGAACTGGCTGGATGGTCGCACTCAAAGAGTTGTGGTGGAGCCCAGTGCAAAGCGGTGTCCCTCAGGGGTCTGTTCTGGGTCCAGTGCTGTTCAACATCTTTGTCAGCCGCAGGGATGACGACATTGAGTGCACCCTCAGTAAGTTTGCCGATGACACCAAGCTGCATGGGGCTGTCGACTCACTTGAGGGAAGAGATGCCATCCAGAGGGACCTTAATAGATTTGAGAAATGGGCCAGTGCTAACTGCATGAGCTTCAACAAGTCAAAATGCAAGGTCCTTCACCTGGGTCGGACCAATCCTAGGCACAAACACAAACTGGGCACAGAGTGGGTTGAGAGTAGCCCTGAAGGGAAGGATTTAGTGGTTTTTATAGATGAGAAGCTCAACATGAGCCGGCAGTGCGCTCATGTGGCCCAGAAGGCCAACCGCATCCTGGGATGTATCAAGAGAAGCATGGTCAGTAGGTCAAGAGAGGTGATTCTCCTCCTCTACTCTGCTCTTGTGAGACCTCATCTCGAATACTGCATCCAGTTCTGGTGCCCCCACCATAAGAGAGACATAGATCTGTTGGAGCGTATTCAGAGGAGGGCCGCAAAGATGATCCAGGGGCTGGAGCACCTCTGCTACAAGGACAGGTTGTGGGAGCCGGGATTGTTCAGCCTTGAAAAGAGAACACTTTGGGGGGACCTAATAGCTGCCTTCCAATACCTGAAGGGAACCGACAGGGAGGCT